TGTCATTTTGTTCTTGTATTGTCTTTTGAAATTGTTCTAGGGTTTTCTCTGTGTTTTCCTTGATCTGTCTCTCAATTCATTGAAGATACCTAAATATAATTCTTTTGAATTCCTTATCAGGGAGTTCCAATGCTGCATCTTCCTCAGGGATGTATTTTGGATCTGTATCATGGTCCCGTGTTTCTCCTGCTTTATCTTCCTTCTTTGTGTGGACTGTGATGCTCTGTTGTCTCTAAGGCATTGTGTCATTTTTGTGTTTATATTTAATTGGTGATTGTATGTTGGAGTAACTTGCCCACGATTTTCATTTTCTTTGTTTTGTTTGTATGTTATCTACACAAGCAGGGTACTGTGCTCCTCTATTTGCTAGTTGACAGCACTTACACACTCACCACCTGTTTCCTTTCCTGTTGTTAGCCTCTCATATGTCCTTGCCGACCTTGGCAAACAGAGCCTATTCTTAAGTCCCTGGAATCTGAGTGAGAATGCTATCACTTTAAAATCCAAAATGGTTGCCACATGTAAGGATTCAAAATGGCTACACCCTCGGTCACTTTAAATATCCAAAATGGCTGCCACATGTAAACAATCAAAATGCTCACACCCTCTGAACAGCAGAAAGTCAACAGGTCAGGTTGTCTTCTCTTCCTAGTCATAAGCCACCAGCACAGTCATCCCTGAAGCCCTTGGTGACCACGGCTGATCTTTAGGTCAATTCTCAGGTCCCAATGCCACTTGGAAATATTCAGGCTATTGGTCCCATCAGAATAGCTGACACTCCACAGCTCTAACCATCTCTGTACTCACTGTTTTCATTCAGGTTTTTCCACTAGTTGGTGCCTAATCCATTTCTGCATAGTTCCTTTCAAAGCTCAGGGCTCCAGGATTATCTTCTATATCTCTGTCAATTGGTTTTTCTTTTCGTTGTTTAAGATAGTCTGTGTCACTTGTCTGCCTAGTCCTCCATCTTACCAGAAATCCCCTGACCTAATACTTTTATAAGAACCCAAGTGCCCACTTTTTTCAAAAGACAATTCTTATTTCTATAAATCACTAGAAAAATAGCTTAGGTGAGAAAATGGTAAAGGAGGCTGCCAAAAAACAGTAGTGGAGGAGGGCCAAATGAGCATGGGGTATTAAACCAAGTACTTAAATGTGCCCTGTTTTAATACCTGCTGATTTCAGGGGCATGAAAATGAAATGTAAAAGAAAAGTCATGTTTTTGCTGCCATCTACAGATGTCAAAGTGCAATTTTTAACGTTTCTTCACACACAAACACATAAACATGAAGTACATTCTTGATAAAATGAGTGATGATGCAAAGCTTGGGTTAAATTTTAGCAATTGAGATAATTTGGGTGTTCTCTTATAGTATTTTCATTTTTATAAAATAAAATACAGTATTCTTTCTAAAAATATTTACTTAATCAGTAATACAGCCTTTTTAACACTTCAGATTGTGTTAAAAATTCTCTGCCAGCGAATGCTCTAACAACCCACTTTAAAGAGGGTTGCCCCTCCAATGTGGGTTAGTTGCAGCTATGGCAGGCAACAGAAAATTTGAGAGTTAAAAAGATCATTTCATTGAGTAAAGACATGTGCTGGCCTTGATTTCACTGTTTCCTGCCCATGACATGCAGTTCTCTGGTTGTTAGAATGGCTGTAGACTACATTTTAAACAAGTGTCTTTTATGATTTGGATATGAGAAACCAACCCAAAACAAGTAAAAACAAAATGTCACCATGATGTCACCTCTGAAACGCCTTCTGACTTTATTCCCCTATCTGTACCATTTCTAAGATTATTATGATGTTTTCCAAATTCCCTTATCCATTATTTCTTAAAGGGTGAAATATAGACAAGAATTATTGGAAAAGCGTTTGGTGGAGAAAAAAGAAGTGGCCCTTCAAGAAGCACATGAAGAAGAGGAGAGAATGAGGCGGCTAGAAGCCCTCAGGAAACAGGTGTTTTTAATTTGGAAATTTGCATGGGTAGTTTAAAAAAAAAAAATCCAAGTGCACTTAATAACATTATTACTAAGGCTTAGTTCATGACATCTGCTACAAAAAAATATAATTTTTCCAAATTGGGACACTGACCTTCATTCATGGGAGCAATTGGATTTATGTTGAACCATTCCCAGTTTCTTAGGATATTAAAAGAATCTTATCAGCATCTTTTAAAAAGCTCTCCCAAGACTTAAATTCTTCCATATCACCTCTAGTTTATTAACGAAATAGTATTCATTTATAACAGCGAAACTCTGCATCTAGCTGAAGGGTTTTACTGTCCAAAAACCTTGTGGAGCACTAACAATATAATCCTCTTTGGGGTAGGAAACTCAGATTGGAAATATCCCAGTCAACAAACCTGTTACAAACCACTTTTTAAAGATACTATTTTTGTAGAGATAAAAGCTTCTCATTGCTTTGCCTGGTAAAACTAAGTAAAAGTAGATGAAAGTAAAAAGTAGATGGCAAAAGCAGGAATCTACAAGCTAGAGAAGTGTCATAACATAGTTTACGTGGTAGTATTTTAGTTTTGAGAGGAATTCTGGTAGTACAGTGGTTAGAGCATTCAGCTGCTTACCAAAAGGTCAGTGGTTCAAACCCATGAGCCTCTCCACAGGAGAATAATAAGGCATTCTGCTTCCATAAAGATGTATAGACTTGGAAACCCTATGGGGGTGGTTCTACTATGTCCTACAAGGTCTCTATGGAGTCAGAATTGACTCAGTGGCAGTGGGTTTGGGTTATTTCAGATTTGAACCCAATGGTGATCGATTCAACTCACAAGCTGTGAAGTCTTTCATTGATACCATTTCCCAACTGATAGGAAATGACTGGTTTCCTTCCTAGGTTGGTAGAGCAACACAGCATGGTGGATAAGAACTTGGCTTCTGGTGTCCTTTAAACCTGGTACAACCTGGTTCTGCTACTCACTGGCAGAGGAAACTTAGATATTTTATATTTCCTCCTCTGGAAAATGGAGATAATCATAACAGTCCTGGCCTCATAGTTTTATGTGAATTCACATCTGTTGAGTATTTACCAAGTTAAAAGCCCTGTCTTAAATGCTTTAAGGTATTAACTCATTTAATCTTTACAACAATCCTATGATGTAGGTATTATTGATGTTCCCACTTTATGAAAGAGGAAACTGAGGAGGCACAAGGTTAGATGCCTTTTCCAGAGTCACACAGCTTGTAAATGTCAGACTGGAGTCAAATTAAGGAAGTCTAGTTAGGTGACTTAGTATTGATGAAGTATGGCTGCAAAGGACTATTATATCATCATATTCTTAATCATTATCATCAGTAAAATAGATTATAGAGATAAATTGAAAGCATAGAAATGCAAGTTTTGATCATGCTAGAAACAACAAATTTAAGTTATTCAATCATTAGGAAATAATTAATGTGTTGGCCCCTTGAGGACAAAACTTAATGCCACTATTACTGAACATATTCTTGTTCAAAATAAAACTTTAATAGAGTCCCTATGATTAGAATTCCATTCATCTGTGAACCCATTGAAAGAGGAAAAATCTGTGCCTATTATATGTGATTAGTGTTTAGAACTATAGCATAAGATATTTTGGCCAGAAAACTTACAATAATGAAGGTACATTTAACTTCATGTTATATCATTACAGCTTTTTGTTACATTATAGTTGTTGTTGTTATGTGCCATCGAGTCAGACCCGACTCATAGCAACTCCTTCTTGGGTTGCCAAGGCAGTATCACTATGGAAGCAGATTGCCCAACCTTCCTTCTGAGGAGTGGCTGGTGGGTTTGAACCTCCAGCCTTCTGGTTAACAGTCAAGTGCCTTAGGCACTATGCTACCAGA